TTTTAACTTATTGTCTCCCCATTTAAAAACAGCCGTTCCTGCTTTGTTTTAAATTCACAAAATATAGTTTTAAATCATGTGTGTAATTGCAAAAGGTACAGTCCACTCTGATTTTTTTTTTCTCCTTTCTTAGTATTTCAGCATACTGGAAACATAAATACCCTTAGCTCTGATATGGGCAGAATAACTAAGGTGATTGTCTTTCAGTGTAGGTCCCCAATTGTAAATACCCTGTTTCCCAGTCTAGCAAGAGCTAATTAGTGCTACACACAGATAGAAGAATCTTCATTCTGTACTCTCATTGATGTACTGAGCACTTATGCTGAAAGAAGGCAAGCAAGAACACTGTTTGAAGTCAGTCCCATTAAATGTCTGAGGTGAGAAGAACCAGAATGTCCATGGTGCGTTGTATTCCTTCTGCATAGTTCATGCTCATGGAACATATAAACGCAGGTATATCAACTGTGCGGTTAAACATAAATAGAATACCTTTACTTCAAATAGACTAGGAAAATGAACCTATTCATGTGGCATATTTTTTTCCAGTTTTTACTTTGAATTGCTTTGGAAGTACATTCCATCCAGCAAGTTGGGCCTTTTGACAGCTAGCCCCTTCACCTAGAGAACTGAAGAGACTGAGGTGTTCCCCTCACAGGAGTATTACTGCATTGATATCTTGATGATGATGCATTATGCATATGCATATGTATAAGAACATATAAAATCTACTCTGATGAGTGAGACCTCTGCAAGATATAAACTCTTCGCAGCACCAGTTCTGAAACTCACTTTCTGAGAGAAGTAGTATCCCATCTGACGAAGAGATCTCATATAGACAACAAAATCTTCATGTTAACCATTTGACTTTCCATTTGTAACTCCTACGATTTAGGGACTCAGTGTAAATGTACGGAAGGAAGAGAAACTTAAAAAGATGTATATATATAGTCTTGTTTGAACTGTCCTGTGAAAGCACATTGCTAGAAACATAGATTGTAATGAATGGATCTAAGATTTGTTATAGATAAAAAAAAACCTTTACTGTGACTCTCCAGCAATTGCTCTTGCAGAATTACAAGTTCCAGAAACCCTCATCCTAAGCATTTATCTGCCTAGAATCATAGAATGGTTCGGGTTGGAAGGGACCTCAAAGATCATCATCACAGGACCACCCTGTCCCGTGGGCAGGGACACCCTCCAATACACCAGGTTGCCCAAAGCCTCATCCAACCTGGCCTTGAACATTTCCAGGGATGGGGCATCTACAACTTCTCTGGGCAACCTGTTCCAGTGCCTAACCACCCTCTGAGTGAAAAATTTCTTCCTTATATCTAATCTAAATCTTGCCTCTTTCACTTTAAAGCCATTGGCCCTTGTCCTGTCACTACACGCCCTTGTAAAAAGTTCCTCTCCAGCTTTCCTGTAGTCCCCCTTTAAGTACTGGAAAACTGCAATAAATCACCCCAGAGCCTTCACTTCTCCAGGCTGAACAGCCCTAACTCTCTTAGCCTGTCTTCATAGCAGAGGTGTTACAGCCCTGGGATCATCTTCGAGGCCCTCCTCTGGACCTGCTTCAGCAGCTCCATGTCCTTCTTGTGTTGGGGACTGCAGAGCTGAACGCAGTATTCCAGGTGGGGTCTCACGAGAGCAGAGTAGAGGGGCAGAATCACCTCCCTTGACCTTCTGGCCACGCTTCTTTTGATGCAGCCCAGGATACAGTTGGCTTTCTGGGCTGCCAGTGCACATTGCCGGCTCATGTTGAGGTTCTCATCCACGAGCACTCCCAAGTCCTTTTCCTCAGGGCTGCTCTCAATCCATTCTCCGCCCAGCCTGTACTTGTGCTTGGGATTGCCCCGACCGATGTGCAGGACCTTGCACTTGGCCTTGTTGAACTTCATGAGGTTCTCACAGGCCCACCTCTCCAGCCTGTCGAGGTCTCTCTGGATGGCATCCCTTCCTTCCAGGCTTCTCAGAGTCCGGTTGCTTGGGAATGCAGCCCGAAGTGGGTGGTAGACTCCATCTAAGGCTAAATACCGGCACGGACCGATAGCCAACAAGTACCGTAACGGAAAGTTGAAAAGAACTTTTCCTAACAGAATAAAATATTTCCTTAGCATCTTTCAAGCTTCTCCTCAAGTCATATGCTGCCTTAAGTAGTGCTAGAAATCTTCAGAAACTACATAGAAACTAATTTCCAAATTTTGATCCACAAAGGATGCTACCCTTTTGTCTTAGTTGGCAGTTTTTAAAAAAAAATCTGGCTACTTGGTGTAGCAGTGACTGAAAGCTCTTATTTTGTCTACAAGAAAGCAAATTGATAAATGTAAAGTGAAAATAAAGTTTCAGTAAATTAAGATACTTCCGCCGCTTCCTAGTTTCTCTGCACTGGAGTCATATCAGTCATATTTCTTATTTAGAAAGATGTAGATGTAGGAGCATTAAAAATCCCTCCCCCTTCCCGCATTTAATCTCTGTGTTCCCTGGCTTTGAAGATCTAGTAATTTCACAGTTAACAGAATATTAGTTTCCTTCCTCTGAGAGTATCTTCCTGTAGTTCTTGTTGTTGTTTGACCTGAAACAGCACGTTATTTCTCAGAGTCTGCAGTTTTGAGAGTCTTTTTCATCTTCCTCTGGGAACCCCTCTCATGTTTCCTGGGGTGATCCTTTGCCTTAACTGTCTATAGGTTGCTTAAAGGCATGTTCTCTATTTAGTGAGACTTCCAGTGATGATTCTTTATTTCAGCAAAATGGCAATAAAAAAGGAGTATGCTTAATTTTCAGTGTGCTTCTACTTATTAACTCTGTTAAAATCTTTAAGAGTCAAGGAAAAAAAAGTATTGCAAGGAACAATCTGTATTTCACTATAAAGTTTGTATGTGTATGTTTGTATGTATATTATGTTTGTTTGTTTGAAAGGCTTAGTTTAAAGTGCCAACAGAATCAACATCTGCATTTTCAGTGCTGTCCTGGTGCATAGAAATCTTTGAAAACCGTTACAGCCCCTGGAAGCCTGTGATGCTGGTCAAGATAGGTCCATCTGAGGCTGTTTGTCCCTGGGCTAGAGGAATACAGAAAAGTGAAAGGCAAAGGGTTTCCCTCTTCAAAACCAGTACCAGGATATGGGAACATTTCTGCAAGCAGCGATATTCTTGCTCTGTTGTTAGGCTACCTCAAGAGAATTGGTTTTGCTCTTTCAGTATAATAGCCATTGTTTTCTGGTTATTCGTTTTCTTCTTTTTGGCTGTACAGTCCTGTTGCCAGCCTGCAGTTACTGTCACACAGAGATTAAATCCTTTTATGTTCTTGATTTTTCACAGAGACAGCCAGAAACCTGTTCAGCTCTGCACTATATAACCTCCCTTATGCAGCAGCATTTCTATGGGCCAGTGACATAGCTAGAGCTGTATGAACACGAGGAGGTACACACTTGCCTCTACCTCTAGACTAGAGACATGAAACCCAAGTTTAGGAATAAACATTTTTATAATTTTGTTTTTCTTCTTTAGCTCTTTCAAATATCTCTTTAGCTCTTTTCAAATAAGTATCAGCAATTCTTACTCTGTCTCATTAAAACACACTTTTTACATGTCATGTTTTAAGTACAAAAATTAACACCTAGGCTGAATAGGAAGAAACTTAGAGAACAATGAATATTTATTACATTAAAAAAGAAGTGGATTTGGAGACTTCAAACCAGTGCTTATTAACAATGTAAAGATTTGAGAGAGACTACTTAACAGCTGAACTGTCATTCAGGTACATTTATATACCAGGTTTTAAAAGGGTCAGTAATTGCATATTTGGACAGTTCATCCCATCTACCTTACACGCCTACATTAAGGCAGTGATGGACCATCTGAAAATGGGTGTTTCTCTGTTGATCAGAGAGGTGACTGCTTTCACTGTGACACGTAACTTCTGGGTGGATTGTGTTAAATGCATTGAATCCTGCTTTGATTGATCTGTTTTGCCTGGGTTTGCCTGCAGTTAAAATTGTATCATCTCACATCAAGACTTCTGTGGGTGTGGAATTCAGGAAATGTTTGTTAGGTGTGATTGTTGCAGCAATCCTAGGGAGATCGTAAGGTGCTTTTTAGAGAGATTGCTTGACTATATCTCAAGTCTTGTTTTTCATATTAAAAAACAGTTGGCTCTGAAAATCCTACACATATAATGAAAACAAACAAATATAATTAGACACAAAAGGAATAGTAATATTCATTCTGCATAATTGCCAACTTGGTAGTGAGTTCCTTAGCAAATTTGTTTATTTCTCCTTCTTGTTTTTCAGTCCAAGAAAGGATATTTTCATTATAGTTTGTGGCAGGAATAATTACCAGTTAACAGCTTGGGGAAGGCTTTAGCTTATGTGCTGGTTTTTTATGGTTCTCGAAAATACTGACAGATCAGCCAGCTAGTGGAAGTATTTAATCTAGGTGCATCAGAGGAGACAGGGAAAGTAGGTTCAGACTCAAGCTGAGACTGGGAAAGCTTTTTTAGAGGAGATGCTGCATCATGGAAACATTCCTGTATTGTCTTGCCTTTGAACACATGAACAGAAGTAAAGTGTCTTTCAAGCATATTGTTGTTGGCACCTGTGTTTTGTAAAGGGAGGTACTTCAACATGATGCTTTAGCTTTCATTAAAATATTATTATAACAAAACCATGTGTCTCCAGATATAACTGTTTCTTGCTCGGTAACAACAGAAAGATACTGGTAAAGCCCATTGAGCTGAGGTCCTGTATTTCCCAAAATACTACCCTTAGTGTAGGAACATACTGGGTTCTGGTTGAAGTCAGGTTCTGAAACAAGGATCTATTTTGAATGGTGCTGTTGATCTGTTTGTTTTTTTTTTCCTTTGTTTGTTGGTTTGGTTTTTACTTATAGCCCAGCTGTCAGGACATGTAGCAAGACCTAGAATATTCCTCAACTGATGTCAGGCCAAGTGTGAAAAAAGCACTGTCTTAATTGTGTGATGTTTTATTGTGTATTTTCCAGAGTGGCAAAAGTCATGAAGGTTCCTGTGTATGAGACACCAACAGGATGGAGATATTTTTCCAATCTTATGGACTCTGGACGTTGCTCACTTTGTGGAGAGGAAAGCTTTGGCACTGGTATGTAATACGTAATCAAAAATTTCCACAGACTTTTAATGAAAACTTTTAATTTTCCTGGGTGCATCAAGTCAAAGCTAAAAGAGTCAGCAAATTAACTGTCTTGTACTGGAACGGACAACTGTCAGTTGTTCACATCTTGAGGATCTTCTTGCAACTCTGGTGTCCAGCCCCTTGAGGTACGAAAAATGTAGCAGATGGACATTCAGAAGTCATAGGCAATCTTGTCACTGCCTAGACAGCTTTTGGAGGTGCCTGACACTCTCTTCTGACTTGAACATAATGCAGAAATGTCTCACTGGTTGCACTGTAATAGTCTTTTCACAGACTGGAACAGCATTTGGAGGGATTTTGCCCATATGGAAAAACTACATGGTTTTTCCTAACGTGATTCAGTGTACAATGTATAAGGATTGGTATGTCTAATGGTATGTCTAATCAAACCTGTTGCAGACATCCCTTTTTGGAACATCGCAATTACTCAAAACTGGGATAAAATCGTTAGAAGAAATTCAGTTACATGTCAGCATCTATGTTTTCCCAAAGTATTTCTCCCTTGTCTGTCCCAAGAACCAATCAAACAATAGAATGCAGAATGAAAGACAAATTTGAGCCCTCTTGAATTCAATACAGACAAGAAGCATTAAAGCAAATAACTAATATATGTAGTCTGTAAATCTGCACAAACTTGCTTTTGGTTTGTGAGAAAAACTGAGTAGATTTCACAGTGTTTCTTTTTTTCTTTCCTGGTTTCTGGCACAGAAATTCCTTCTTCTTTTTATCTATTAGTAGGGTTATGTTACAAGGGTTTTTGAATAAGCACATATCAGAATAACTTAACCATTTACCTGGCTAATAATTTATTCTGTATTTTGATTGAGTTCCATGGAGTTCTTTATTTTGGTATGTTATTCATTGGCTACAGCTTTTCATAGAGTATAATTTATCATGCAGTGAAACTTGATTACAAGTTTTGATTTGCTGTAATTGAGTTAAGTCTAGTATTAAGTTTGTTGGTTGAGGTCAATTAGAGCAGAATGCTGCATTTTGCAATATGAGGATATCTTTAAGCCATAGACATGCCACTTTGTGTTAGCCTGTCATTAACTGTCTGTAAGTATTTAAATGCACTATGATGGAAGAACCAAAAACGTGTTAGATTTCTTCAGGTGTCTATGTGTAAAAAGTAAGAGAATTTAAATTAATAATGAATGTTTATTTTCTTTCTGCTGTGAATGGCAACCAATGTCTCATCATTAGCAACCTGGATGCCTTGACTTAATTATTGTGACTTACACAGATTTGTATTGCCTTGGATGTACCTTTCGAACAGATATTTTATCCTATCATTAATTCTTCAGATTCCTGATAAATTCTGTCTCTTGTGAATTTTAAGGGTGCTTGAACAACATACTGCTGATCAGCATGGAGAGCTGCTCTACAGCAATATTTGGTCTGTGCGTCCTGGTACGTTCTGGTCAGATGAGCTATGTTGCACCTGCAGCACTTCAGTGCAGAAAGCCTCCTGACCTCCCATTTAAGCCAATGCTGTCTAAAGGCTAATCTGAACCCTCAAGATTCAATCTCATGAGCATCCAGACAACTTGAGCACTTCGTTTAAATTCCTCAGTGTGTGTGTAGTTGCTATGTAAACGAATTGTGACAGTGCCTACAGGGCAATTACGCAACAGCTATGATGCCTAAAGTTTGTTTTTCTCCCTGCCTCAGTTTCCTTATCATCTTTCAATTCAATGCAACTGTCTGAAAATATCTCATATGCCAGGGCGTTTATTCGTAAAATGCAGTCTGATCTGTAGATGACCAATACTTCAGCGATATGAGCTGTTTTTTAGCAATAAATATTTATCTTATTGCAGATCTTTTGGTTATGTCCTAAGCTACATGACCCTCACAAGTTTCTGCCAGTATTGGGCATTTGAATCAATTTTACAGCTTTCCCCTCAATCATATCTATTTAGGGAGCTGAAACTTGGCACTTCTTTAGCTTTCAGCATGGAATATTTAAAGAAGTGTACCGTATAGCTGATCAGAGTGGGTAACTTGCTGTTCTGCACAAGAGAAAGGGGTTTTACAGATCCACATCCTATCGTCAAGCTAACCAAGCAGCACTGGAGACCAATTGCTTGTGTACCCAGGTAATCCAGCCTAGCTGGAATTTCCAAATAATACAGAGCCCTGGTTTTATAACATAAGGGATTTTGCTCTGGCAAGTAAATAAAAGCAAATTTTCTGCTATAAAAGGACAAAAGATTTTGAAAACATCCCATAGGGCTATGTTTCCCAGACTTGTTTTCTGGCAGCTGATCTTGGAGCTCAACCAATGCTTTAAAAACTTCTTCCATTTTTGTAGCAGTGTGAGGAGCTTGTCAGATGAGGTTAGTAGCTTTCTGGTTCTATGACTAATGCTCAGGACACAGTTCAGAGAAGGCCGTCAGCAGCAGCAATTAGTTTCTAAATTTCCTCAGCAAACTATTAATCAGGATTAGGAGAGCTGTGTAGCTGATTTATCTTTCTGCAGTTTAAGCCACTTCAGTAATTGCTACATCTTTTGTAAATTTGCATGCTCCATCTCTGAATTTCCAGATGCTATTGACATTGTCTGCCTTCTCCTGCAAGATCATGTGGAAGAGGAACTAGTGGAGCATATAAAAATGTGCTGCTGCTGAAATGCAGGAAAGCCTTAGAAGAGCTGTTTGGAGTTATCTGTTACAGTAAAATGAATCTAAAATAATCTCATTAACTTGAATAAAGGAACAGATCAGAATACCCCTAAATCTCCATTTGCCTAAAATATCATCAAGTTTCAGATTGCTGGATGATTTGTGAGACTCAAAGTGTGCAAACAAAATGATTTACTGTGAGTTTGTATACTTGCTTTAGTCAGATTTTTGTTTTAAAATCACATTTACAGAATGCAATACGCTAGACAGGGACCACAAATTTAGGGAAAAGCAATTAGGTTTTCTTCATGCATATGACCCCCAGGGCTAACTGCCTCTATCAGAACTAGAAATCTCAGATACAGAGTAAGATAGACCTGTAAAAGCCTGCAGGCTCAACAGCTTTCCAATATCAGAAAAATCATTATATGAATATTGTTTCATGGTCTTACTTTGTTTCTCAGGCTACTGCCTCTCAAGACTTCTGTTCAAGCCTGTTTAAGCTGAGTACTTCTTTATGAATGGGAACGTGCTTTGAGAGTTTTTTCCAGATTGTTTACTCTGAGTCTGGCCATAGCAATTGACTGTTGCAGTAGTAAAAAATAACTTTTGCTACTGTTATGTGGAGAAATATGTCACAAATTAACTTAAAAATAAGTTGTCGAAGTAGTTGCAGTTGTTGTAATTTCCCTTATCGATGGTAAATGAAATATAATGGGATAATCAGAAAAATATTTGTTGACTGCTCTGTTCTGTTGCCTCTTTCTGCTTCAGCTCCTTAAACAGAGTCCAGCGTTCATTAATGCCGTGGCTGTTTCAATTAAAAGCATCACTGAAAATTATCCTGAGATTGCTGAGAGCCCTCAGCAAGCCCGGAGATGTATCAGTATTACAGTCTTAGGAATACGTAGTTGTAAGGCACCGTTTACTTGATCCCTTTGCACAGGGAAGCTCTGCCTCTGCGGATCCACAGCAGCAGGTATTGGATCTATAAAGCAAAGAGAAATGGTGTTAGCTGAACCGAAGCAGCAGAATGAGCTCTCTCCCTGGAGTTTATACTGCATGAGCTGGGCAGTAGTAATAAGTGAGAGAGGGAGAGCAAAGACACCTGCTGACAACAGTACAATAGGTGAAAATTAGAGTTGACTATCAGACTCAGGGTAAAGGATTTTAATTTGCTAAAAGAAGGAAGAGCAATAAATAGAACGTATGTCTCTATAGTAACCCAGTTGATGGATATGCTGGTGAAATAAAAGAAGTGGAATAAACAAGTTCTGAGAAATCCCAGAGAAATCTGAGAAATTCATCCTCCTATTAAGACTAATGAACTGAGACACTTCTTGGGCACATGGAATTATTGTCCGTATACTCACATCAGGCTGGCATTTTTAATCGGTGACTCTTGGTTCTGGTAAAGTTGGGTTGTTTCCAGCTTTTCCATCCAGACTTTTGCCTCTAGATTACTCTCTTCCAATGCTTTCTCTTTCCAGAGAAGCAACAATCTGTATGTCCTCCTGAAGGGCACACAAGGACACAGCTCATGCCAAAGCTGCTAACGGGATCAGAAGAGTGATATGTGTATACACTCGTCCCTTTTCATAGAGATTTATGAGCGTAAGCCATGCCAGAACAAGACTCAGAGGACAACAGAGAGCTTTCCAAAAATTCTTCTGTGTTTCACTGGACCATTTTGGTTCAATGAAACATATTCAAAGTGTTGGTTAAATCAAAACGCATCTCTTCTTTGGTTCTCAGTTCAGACCGTCGCACAGATGTCGCGATGTGTAGACCATTGTGCTGAATGAATGCTGTGCCTTTCACTGTGTGATTTGTTGGCCTGCAGTCAGCAGTTACAGAGCAGGAGAGATGATTGTCTACATGAAATTAAAGATGGAACAAATTGCTGGGGTGTTTAGCTCAATACCATGTTCCACTTCTTGCTGGTGCCTGTTGAGACACTTAAGCTGTTTCAGTCGCTGGTAATATCAGCAACAGAGGTGGCTTTTTAGGTGAAACTGAATTTTTCAGTGGTAAGACCACATGGCTGAAGGAGAGGCAGGCAGATGAAGAAGGAAAGGCACAGCCCCCGGGTCTCCCCACCCTGTCCGCAGCCCGGGACCCCTGCCAGCCCTGGGGCCCTGCACCCCTGCCCCGGCAATGCTGCCGCAGGGTGGGTCTCGACTCCCAGTGCCCGGGAGGTGCCTGGTGCCCGGGGCTGGGGCTGCCCTGCCGCCCCCCGGCTGTCCGGCTCCAGGCAGGGCGGTGGGATGAGCCCTGCTGCCGGGCTCTGCCCTGCCGCCCTTGGGTTCCTCAGGGTGCACCCGCCGCTTCCAGTCCCTGGGAAGCCCCCAGCCCCGCTGGTGACCTGACGACTTTTCCTGCTGCTACCAGAGGAACAGTGGGCGCTGGTGGGAAATGGCAACTCTGTTCTGAGTCTCCCTTTTGGTGGCAGTGGCAGAAGCCTACTCCAGTATCTGGGAGCAGACTCTTGGCTGCACTAGCAGTGATCGTGCCCACGCGCCCACGTGTGTGCTTTGCCTACGAGTGAGCTGACTTTATTATCTGTAGGCTGTGTCGCTGGTGTTTCTGTGGAATCCATCCTTCAGCTGATCCAGTGTGCTATCACACTAGCGAGGGAGCAAAAAAGGTGAGATCCTGATTGTCCAAAGGGCTGACTTCCTGTGGAGGGACATTTGTTTTTCTTTCATATCTGAGGCTATTTGCAAAGCTGTAAGAGCTCATAAATAGCCCTGCCCTTTTTATTCTGATTAGATGGCACTCCATGCTTTCACAGCACCTAGGATTCTGGAGCAGGGAACAGAGTGAGCTGTCGTCCTTCCTCCAGCAGCTCCTGAGGGTCAGCCCATAGCTCTGGCCGTTGTAGTAGGAGATTGCCCTTCTTGCAGAGAGCTCACAGTTTGCAGATCAAGGCAGATAAAAAGTGGCAGAAAGGAAGTATCCTTACTATCATGACAGCTACTTTGCAAATGCGAAGGAACATTAATATCTGTCTCAGCTCTTAAATCCATCTACAGAATTCAATGTCTGTTGTCTGCATTATCTAACTCATAGACACAAACATAATCTTCATGTAAGTCTTTTTCTTCTTCACGAGTCTACAGTAATCATTCCTATACAACTCTGGTATTGTGCTGAAATAGTAATTTGCAGTTAGTTAACTGTACTCGGCACTGGTGAGGCCGCACCTG